GGCCCTAATCGCCACCTATAGTCTACCCCCTGGGCCTCGCCCACATGACCCTGCTGAGCACAGCGCTTTCTTTATGCCCTCTGAAAGAGCTGGGGATTGAGCCCAAACAAAAAAAAACCCCACGAGGGTGAAAAAATGTTTTTACACCCACCCCGCTCCCTCGCAGGCCTGGCTGTGTGGGCGCACAAGGCCGTTTTAGCTTTAGATCAATGGGACAAGTTACTGGAGTCTGGCCAACTCTGACCGATAGCACAGAAAGAAAAAAGCTTGCCTCTTCAAAAAATTGGGTTTTGTCACCGTGTTTTGTACCTCCACCCGTCCACGTCCCCCCAAAAAATGCGAGGTGAAACGAAGGGCTGCTTTTTTTTCCCCGTTTTTCCTTCAGCCTGCTGAAAGATTTGAGTTTTATGCAAAGCTTCTTCTGTGTGGAGGGTGAGAGGGGGGAGGGCAGGAGGAGGTGGGGTGTGCACAGGCTTATGGGAGGAGAGGCGAGGTGAGGCGGCCTTACGTCAGCCGCTGCAGACAAACCTCTTGTCGGAAGCTCAACAAAGCCTCGTCCTGCAGCTAATGAGGGGTGTTATAGTTTAACAACATGTCTGGGGGTGATCGTGGGGCTGCTGGTAAACCTGGACCTCAGGAACACCCAGCTGTTCCCCAGGGAGGGGTCCACAGCGGGGTGGTAGCGCCCCCTATCGGAAGAGAATGGACAGTGCTCTACTACGCTTAAACACAAAAGCAGAAGCAGCCTGGTTTCTGGTCATTCCTCTGTTTGTTCTCTGACATGTCTGATACAAACACTACTAAATGCATCACTGTGACAATGAGTTCCATGCTCCGTTGTCACCACATTCACCATTTATATTGACTTAATCCCACATACACCATCCTGTTGCCAGGAATACACACTGAAGCATCAAGTATGCATTAATTCGCTGCTTAAAATAGTCTCCAACAAATGCATCGATGTCTGTGTAACATTTGCTTTAAACTAGCTGTGTGAGGAAAACAAGGTCAAGTCTACATATCAACTATATATAAAACATTAGTCTCTAGCAGGAAACAGTTGGCTTGGAGTACTGAAGCTAGGGAAGTACTGAGAGAAGGACTGTTGTAATTACTTTTTATGCCACAAATGGACTAAACTTCATAAATGGAGGAAGTCAACCAGCATAACAATGGATGTGATCAATTCTTTGTCTTTCTCAGATCAATGCAGTGAGCCACCATCAAAAGTCTGATTACGCTACAAGAACCTTACAAGGGTTCCTTTCTTTATAAAATTAGATTTAGGAGCACATTGATTCTCATAGTGTTGCTACTGACAAGGTGCTGTATCTTAAATATCAATACTAGAATAACAGGTTTAATAATCTCCCAGAAAGGATCCATGACTTGTTAGAAAACGTCTTGAGCTCCCTTTAGTGCTGCAGTATTTTCTTTGGGCCTCATTAGTTTAGAGAGTTGGACATCGAAAACATGTTGAGGTTAATTGGTGATTCTAAATTGTCCGTAGGTGTGAATGTGAGTGTGCTTGGTTGTCTGTCTCTAAGTGTAGCCCTGTGATAGACTGGTGACCTGTCCAGGGTGTCCCCTGCCTTCACCCTGAGTCAGCTGGGATAGACTCCAGCCCCCCATGACCCTGGTGAGGATTAAGCGGTGTGTAGATGATGGATGGACATATTGGGCATTTGTTAATTACTAATCAAACGACACTGTGTTTAAACGTGTATAGGATAGAGTTGTTACAATAATGACAAAAAATGCCATAAGTCTGGCTCATTATTTGATGCTGATTAAAGAAGTATGCTATGAAGAATGTATTTTATTACTCAAATCAACACTAAATGTAGATGTTGGTGTTTGTATTGATGATCCTGCTGTTGACATTTCTTCACATTGGATTAAAACCAAATTTTCTGATGTCACTCACCTCTAATTAGATTATTTGTAGGGAATTATAATTGTCTTTGGAACTATGGAAATGTTTATGATGTCAGAAGATCTGCAGTTAAACTCAGATGTGTCACAGCTGAAGCTTGAAAAGATAAATAAGGCAGGATGGAGGCAAGGAGGGGAAAAGCAGTCGGCTGCAACTCTGTAAAGCTCATTGTTCGAAAACTGCTCTCCGAACCTGAGTGGTTTTAAGTGCATCTGCTGAATGAATACACTTATACAAAGCTGCATTTTAAAGGACGCCATGATGTTAGAGGGTTCCTGTATTGCAGAGATTTCTAAAAGAACAGTCAAAAGTGCAGCAGCAGAAGCAGACAGTTGATTTGACATTGCCTAAACAGACCTTTGAATCGATTTGGAAGCAGCAGAATTTTCTTTGAGAACCTGCAATTTTACAAACTACATATACAGTCGTGTGCAAACATTTGGACATTTTTGATGTTTAGCTTCCAGGTGTCTGCTTCCTGCCCAGTAAATTCTGCAGCAGGACAATGAGTCCTAGCATAAGTCATAAAGTACCATCTTCAGCGTAAGCAACGACAAGGAGTCCTGCAGAAGACGGAATGACCTTAACAGGGCCCTGAGCTCAACGCCAGAGCCAGAGTGAAGAGATAGAAGACACAGAAAGCGCCGTGGCAACTAATCTAAGATGTCTGCAACAACCTACCTACCTGCTAAAAACTGCACAGAGGAAGCTGAGCCTCTCCAGACTGACGTTAAGGTTACATCTGGTGACCCTGAGCTTCGCCTCCCCGGTCGCTGCTCTGACCCTGAGTGTTGACAGGCCACACCTCCTCCTGCCCTGCTGCCTGTCATCCTCCAGATAACACTCCCAGCCTCGGTGTCGTGTCCGTCCGGCACCTTGTAAAAATGATAGCGAGGAAGGTCAGAGCACAGCGAAGAGGCCCTCGTGTTGTGCTGCCTGCCTTGTAAGAGCAAATCACAAACACAGATTTATTTTTACTTGGATTTTTTGGGGAAATGAAAAAGAGAAATATTACACTTAAAATTCCAAGTAAAGCCAGTGATATTTACATCACCCATTTAAAACAACAGCAGTCGAGGCAACACAAAAAACAAAAACCGTTATTCACTAAACACTAGCCTGTAAATGTAAATGAATCTGTTCAAAGCACTTTCTCCAATATGATGATTTGACATTTGATGCAGTTCTTCCACATATTGCTGCATTTGACACTCGCTTGTTGGTCATCTTTTGTTGAAATTGTAAATAAAAGCCCTAAATTAGCCCTAAGTTTTTATGTAAAATCTTAGAAATCTGGGATTTTGATTTGCTTTAACAGCTGCTTTGAGATCACTGCAGTTGAAGCCGATAAATTTAATTGATTTAAACATGAATAACATGGCAAAGACAGCCAACTGGTTTTAAAAAAAAAAAACAACCCACAGTGTTTAACAATGCAACATGTTGCAAGCAAGTCACAGTTAATAATGTCGCACTTTTAAACAACAGCAATTAAGCTAAAGTGCTTTCCAGTAAAAAAACAAAACAACAACAGAATATGATTCCTCTTAGAATGTATCTTAGCAAGTGTACGTACTGGGGTTAAGACCCTAAACTGTTATTTGTGGTATGAATTTACCTGAGTAATTTACATAGGAGTGATTTAATCCCCACAAAAAACATACAAACTACTACAGTACCTGACTACAATACATCATAAGTCTGAGGCCCGACAGTATCATTTATATATGGAGAGTAACCTAAGTGATTTAATGTAATAGCTAAGACCCTTCAGTGGCATTAATTGTAGAGATTAGCCAAACAAATAGGAGTATAAGGCCCAACAACACTGATAATCACGAAGATTAACTAGTTTTGAACTAAAATCCAACTATGTCCTGGATTTTAGTGACATAGCTAATGCATTTCATTCTACAGAGGTATCGGCACCGGTGGGAAAACTACATTTTTTATTGATGCACAAAGGTTAAAAGAAATAAAACTCAACCACTGCAGCAAACATATTAAAAATGCTAGCACACTGTTACTTAACAAGGGAAATATGTACAGTGATGTGCAAAAAAATGCAACCCTTTTACTTGTAAAGTCTGACATTGACTCTTCAGGCCTGAAGTGACTCATTCTGGCTTGTAAGGCAGGTTATTAGGAAAATCTAGCTATCGAAGCACTCCCAACTTGTAGTTACTGCTGTCTGAAATGTTTTTCTGAAGATGGTCAGAAGAAACGTCACGAATGCTGAGCAGAACGGTAAAAAAATCACACAACTGTGAAGAAGTTATATAAATATTCAACTGCCACAGGAGTGATGTTATATTGTACAGTCGACACAGAAGAGTCATCAGAAAACGTCAAGTCTGCAAAGCAACATTTAGGTAAGTCAGTGTCATTTTGGAATCAAGTGCTCGTGGCAGATAAAATGAAAACCACAAAAAGTAAAGTATGGTCTACAGAGGGGGGAAAAGCCAACTGCTAAACTGGAAGGTGAAGATTTTCATTACATTCATTAGTTCATTCCTTCAGTATTTCACTTATTGATCATTATACAGTCTTCAGCGAAAGGTCAGGTTCTTTAAACAACCACCTGGAGATGTGAATCCCTGGCAGGCAGGAGACCCAAGTGTAACGCTGGACTTGTCATAATCACACAGCGGTGTGATGTTCAGGTGTCCACATACTTGTAGTCTACCAGATTTTTCAAATTCTGCACACAACCCTGGTTCTTTAAAGGTTTGACTTACTAAGATCATTTAAAAAAAAAAAGTCTTTTTTTTTTAATGATCTTAGTAACCATACTGGTAGTTTTGGTTTTATGAGTGAGACAGTAGATACCATTTCATTTATTATTATTTTAAGAAAATCTCACTCTACTTGTAATGATCACAATTTTTTACTCTTTATGGAGAGCAAAAAAAAACTCTTTTCCTCTCAGCATATACAAATCAAACTTCACAATTTAATGCCTCTAGGAGTGGGATAAACAACCTTTATGCCAATATTGTAGTAATAATGTGAATTATCCCTTTAATGTTCAGCCCTTAAACAAAACAGCATCGTAAAGGAGTCTGGATAGAAAATGAAATCATTTATTTAACATGACCGTATCAGCAGATCAGCCCACACACATAGCATCAGACTCACAATCACTCACTTTCAGTATATACAGATAGGCACATTCACATTAGGCATTAAAGCCAGCCACAGCGTCTACTGTAGGTCCAAACCTGTGGCAGGTTTGGTTGTTGCCTCCGAGTCCAGCAGGAAAATCAGCCAGGTTAACCGGGGTCCTCTGATCCGGGGTCTGCTTCAACTTCCACTGTCAAGTTTAAAGGTTTGGATTTCAGGCTGGCACTGATCCGGTGTCAGAAATCCTGACCAATGATCTCCATCCAACTCCACTATCGTTGTTCCTGAAATGTTACACTGCAGTTCTAGGCCATTAAATGCAATCAGGTGTAGAAAAATAACAGGAACACCTGCTCTTTAGATAAAATAAAACTCTGAAAGTGTATTCCCTGACCTTGTTCACCAGTTAAATCCACTTCAGTCAGGGGGGAGCAGTCATGTGGATTGTGCAGAGAACACGTTTGAAATCAGTGAGAAATTTGAGACATTGATTGTGTTCGTGGGGTGGCAAACTCAACATCTTCCTTATATTATGAGGACTGGTTATGGGAACACCTTATAGCACTCTCCCAATTCTAATGAAGTAGAAAACAAATCCTCAAATAATCGTCCAAAGGATTTTAACTTCATGACACTTCATCAATCACAAAAAAAAAAAAAAAAAAAAAAAAAAAAAAGGAGGGTGACTTTGAACACATAAATAAAAAACATATATGAAAAATTGTCACAGACTTTGTAACCTGGAAAAAAAACAAACATGTTTCGTTCATGGAAAAGGAAAAAAAAAAAAGTCCAACCAAGTATCTGTCACAATACAAGCTTTTGTTTTGCAGTGCTAGTGCTCCACAACAGCTCTGAAGAAGAACACGACATATCAACAGGTACTCGGCATTTAAACTAAATCAAGTTTAAAGGAAACCAAAAATACAAACATGAGGAGAAAAGCAAAATTCAAAAACAGATTGCTGGGCTTCCACGTCCTTCATGTTTAGCAGGATCCTTTACCGATATCCTTTACCGGAAAAGAGAGAGGTGAGGGCGCAGGTCTGCAGCAGGTTTTCAATGAATGGTGGGTGAGAAGGAAATCGATAAAAACCTCACCCCAACATAAAGAAGATACAGTCAAACTCATAAAAGGAGAAATAAATAATCAGGGTTTTTTTTGTGTTTTCTGTTTTTTTTAAAAAGGCTTCTCAGGAGGCAAGTTTTCAAGCTGAAGGTTTCAGTGGGTGAGTTTCTTTACCCCAAACTACACAGTGTCCCTCTGTGTGGACTCAAATAACCGCCTTGTTCCGGAGATATTTACACATCAAAGCAACCCAATCTGGGCTTAGTATGCATGTAATGCTACATCGCATGAATGAAGGTTCCCCTAATGTCCTATAAAGAAATGCAGCATGTCGGTAGGTAGCCTTTCCACTGCACCACAGTGAGTCAGATGCGTCTGATGATGAGAGAACACATGGTTTCAGTCCTCTTTTTCTATGCTGGGATCAGTCCTGACTCCTGCCCTCCTGAGCTCAAGTCCTCTGTGGTGCAACGGTTTTGCCTGAGAGCAGTACTGATGGAGGAAGAGCAGCGAGCGCGATGATGGGAGGGAATGAAAGCAGCCCAGTGAACGGAGATATGTAATATAACAGGTCGCCCTGACAGAAAAGGAGGAGGCTGCTGATCTTATGCTACCCTTTGAAAGCATGCTGGGAAGTCAGAAATTCCATCTTCATGCTGAGAAAAATGCAACACCGAGACCGAAGCGAGTTAGATTTGTGTGTCAGTTGCAAATTTATCTGTATCTGTTTGAGCTTCAACATGTACAACTCTCAAGGTTCTCCCATTTACAGCAGGCTTGAGAAAGTGGGTGGGACCGACCAGACAAGACGAGCAGCAGGTAAGTAAATGCTGTTTGGCTGCAGTGAGCATGAACATCACTGCCAGCAAAATAACAAAACTGTGTACAAGTTACAGCTTTGGGTCTACAATCTAATTCATGCCATTTCCTTTCCCGCCTGCTTTCTGCCAAACACCATGAGTACATTTCATGAAGCAAGATGGAGCTCGACTGCAGTTCAACACCAAATCTGAGCAACCTTTTTGCCATCTGTTGAACCCAAAAATGTGCTCTTATTGAAATTTTCAAACTCCTCAAAGGTCCCATATGGCGAAAATCTATTTTTAGAGTTTGTGATTGCAATAAACTTGGAGATGTTAAGATATGAAGGTGTTTACTTGTGCAATTCCTACAGTCTCCCCACAACTAGATAACCTTCCTGCTGTTCAAGCCAGTAACAACATTATTTAGCCTCTACACTCTACAGTTTGAGCTCAAAATTTGCATAATCCTCCCCCCCTCACTGCTTCCACGTGAGCCATTCAGAATGAACAGCTGTCGTTCAGCCAACCAGGCTTGTTTATTTGCCACCTCCAAAATGTCACAAGCTCACCATATGTTCTGCCGTTGGTTGCAAGAGTGAACACAACAGTCCTCAGGCTCTCCCAGCATCCGAGGAACTGAGGATCCTGTGGATTGCTTGTGTTTTTTATTGCAACCTAACCACAGCAATAGTCAAACCCTTATTGTTAGCACACTGCGAAGCTAATGTGGCTAGCGTTACCATTAGCTTTGATCGTATGCCCACAAGTCAGAGCTCTGCGGAAACCGTTCAAACCGATAACCGTCTGTGTGGGTTCCTGTTTGTTTTGTTGTGCTTCAGTGCCATCTAAACTCTGTTTACTTCTCTCTTGCTCTCTGTGCTCATATAAACTGAATTTCAATACACTTGAATATACAATAAATTTGTTCTCCTTTACATATATTTCTGTTGTCAGATAATGAAACAAGCATGAAACAGTGACTGAATGTAGCTCATTAACACTACATGTTAACCAGCAGTCACTGCATAGCTATTTGGAAGCTGCTGCTCTGCAACAAAAACACAGATTTGATGTAACTGCAACTTGATAAACACACAAATTTACCGCAACAGCTGTGAGTGAATTCCGCGACACTGCAACGTTACAAAAATAGAGAAAGTTGGAGGTGGCAGAAAGTCCTTGTCAACTGTTTGGCTCTACGTCGTCAATCACTGATACAGTTTCCTTCCTGAAGGGGCATAGACATCCCTAGTTCAGCTGCATTTAAAGCTACAGACAACCAAACAAAAAATAACCATTTTTGCAGTACTTTGAGCTGAAAGAAACATTCTAGGGACATGTGAGACTTTCATGTACTTGCTGAAAAAGGGGCACAATATGAGACCTTCAAGTAAAGTACTTGACTAAAGTGCATCACTGATGGTTGTGGTCAGAAAACAGCAGGCAAATTAGGAACAAAATCCCTTTCACCGGCCGTGTTTTTTACAAGCTGAACTCCAGACTGCACTGAAGATGGAATTTCAACCTACCAGCTGGGACTTTCTTCTCAGCACAGCACATAATCAGCTTTGCAGTACCTCTTCCTACTCTTCTGGTTTCACTCACACTCTGTCTTCTCCCTTTGCCTCTTGCTTTTTTTTGTAAAAAATGAAGTTACTCTGTTGATCCCAAACACCCCACTTCATCATTTCCACCGGCAGAGCGATGGCGAGGAGGTCATGAAGCTGAGAAACAAGAGAAAGTAACTCCTTGACATCTTTTCCCTTCACCTCAGTGTCATTTGGTACCTCGTTGAGGCCGCTGATAAGTTGAAGCATGATTCTGTGTTGTTAGAAGTATAAATATTTTTAAGCTGCATGTCTGAGCACTATAAACAGGCTGCACCTCAGAATCGTAGGTGATGCACAACAGCAAATTCTGGCTTTTTAGAACATAATAACCATTAATAGGCTGTCTTCTACCATATTTAGTTGTTTGACTGTAAGAACAAATTACAGCTCCACTTCCTTAATCTCTTCTTCGCATTGATCAGATCTGTGCCTGTGCTCCTCCTCTGGTTTATGAAATCAACATTTTTGCCCAACTAGCTTCCTTTTTGAGGCCGAAGTATATGTTTGGGCTGCCCTTCACCACCACTTTCATCATCCTCTACTTTTTCCGTTGTGGATGTTCCTCGCCAGGAGGAAACAGTCAGTCAGTGAGGAGGGTAAGGAGGACTAGACGGTAAGACAGGTGAAGAGGACACATACTACTAGATACCCTACGCATCCTCCTCTTCAGACTGATCAGGCTCTACTAACAGAAATCTGAGCGACTGCTACTCTCCCCCAGCTGCTTCACCCCTGTCCTCTTCCTCCTCTTCTTCCTCTAGCTGCTGTTTATCTGTGTAAATATCCCTGACCAGGAGGATTCTGGTGAGGAGGCTCTCCAGGATCCGTCGCTCCAGCGGCGTGGAGCTGAACCACAGCGGGTCGTCGGGACCGCAGTCTGGATCTGGCTGAACGTAGAAGATATCTAGGCGCTCCCGCAATGACGGCGGACTGGAGGGAGGAGGCAAGTTGGGAGGGGGAGACCAAACAAGGGGAGGCGAAAAGTGGGAGAGAAGAAGAAAAGGGAGAGTGAGCCGGACGAATTAGAAAGTGAGTAGAAAAGTGAGGATGAAGAAAAGATGAATGTTAGAGAAAATATCAAGGGAGATCAGCAAAGAGAAAACATTGCATGAAAGCAAGATAAGTGTAAAAATGTTGAGAAGTAATTAAAGGAAACAGAATGAGGGTGAAACGATGTAAACAGGAGGAGGAGGGAGAAATTGCATGAGGAAAAGAGGGAGGAGGATGGGGGAGGTGGGTAAGAGAGAGAGAACTGTGAATCTACTGGTCTGAAGTTCTTTTTTTAATGAATATGAGAAACGTTTGACATTTTTAAGTCCTCATCTTTCAACATTCAACACAGTGGTTCAGGATGTGAACAGCAATGAGTTCTAATCACAGGACTTAGGAAAAATATAGAAGTTTTAACCAATTCATTAAATTAGGGATGCATAAGAAACAACCAGTAGATTAAAAATATAAAACTGCTCTTTGTTCCAGAAACTAAAATTTTAAGCGTTTTCCTGATAGTTTGAACTGAAAACAAGTACTTAAAGAAATCAAGTTGGGCTCTGAGAATGCTAACATCTTTCAATGTTTTTAATCAAGAAATGAACTGATGTTAAAATAACTTTGATGTTAGTCCTTGAAATTAAAGCGCAGAGGCGAATCTCCACATACTTGGAAAAACTTCTGGAAATGCCTTAAAGATGAGATTAATGATGCTAATCACTGTATGTATGATTGAGAGCAGACTTTTGTTTTTCCTACTGCTGCACAATTTGCTACTCTGCATGACTTAAATTATTAATATACATATTATTAATATAAGTAGAGACAGAAATTACTGCAGTGATGATGCAATTGAATTTCAGTTGCACCAGTAAAGAGACTGAACCCACCACTTAGATCTGTAGAGCTCGTAGAGGCGACACTCGTGCTTCTTAACCGGGCAGCGTACAGCGGAGCCTCCTGAGTCGCCGTCGTCCTGATCGCCTTCTTCCGACTTACGTTTTCTCTTCCGAGACTGTGTTTGCACTGCAGTGAAAGATAAAAATTCACCGATTTTTGACATGCTAGAAGTTGCATGTCTGAAACTGTGAGCAAAATTTGAAACATAATTTTGATGTTACCGTTTATGGCTACAGATAAAGCAGAGGTGTTTACAGGGAAAATGATGGTTCACAACTAAACTTAAGTGTGAGTAAAGACAAGTCCTGGGACATTAGAATGTTTTTTTTTTTTTTTAGTGTTTCAGTTTTGTGCTTCAGCATATTGGACTTGAAAAGAAATGAGGTCCAAGTGCAGGCTTTCAGGTTTGAAGGTGTTTACAATTTTTATACCTGTACAGGATATGAAGCATGACAGCCCATTTTAGTCTTTTTAGTCACTTGGAAAAACATTACCAATGTTGTTCAGTTTATTTTTTTATTATTATTATTATTATTTTATGATTTATGACATTATAATTGTGCCATACTGCAAAGGCATTTTTGAGTTAGACTAGATTTTTCTGTTCTTTATATTGCAGTACAAAATAGGCCTAAAAATTACAGATACAAAATGAATCTTCACAACAACCAAAAGTCCATTTCTACCTGGTTATCATTTGTTGTGTCAACATGAAACCTGAAAGTGTTGAAGCAGTGTCCTCATATAATGTTATGGTGCAATCACAATGTGTCAGGATGTGAACAGCAGAAAAGTTATAATCATTGGACACTGCTCATACAGGTTGTTTAACAGCACTGTGAAGCAGACATTCAAGCACACTCCTGCTTCCCTACTTCCAAGTATCATCCTTATCCGTAATGAATGACTTTCTTTCCCAGCTCTACTGCACCTACGTTTAATTTTGCACATCTCTAACAATTAAACTTAAGTGTGAGTAAAGACAAGTCCTGGGACATTATAATGTTTTTTTTTTTTTTTAGTGTTTCGGTTTTGTGCTTGAACATATTGGACTTGAAAAGAAATGAGGTCCAAGTACAGGCTTTCAGGTTTGAAGGTGTTTACAATTTTTATATCTATACAGGATATGAAGTATGACAGCCCATTTTAGTGTTTTTGGTATTAATCATATGAATATTACATTAAATATGAATGTAAAACTCCTAAAATTATATCTGAACACTAGCACTCATTGGCTGGTTTTAAATTCAATATGCTGGAGAACAAATCCAATATTTAATGTCATACATAAACAAAAGCAGAAATTTTGAACAAAAAATATAAGTTCTACTTTTATGAAGCTAATTCAGAACACTAGAACAAAAGGTTGAAGTTTCATTATTCTAAATACATCCCTCCTTCTGGTTCATTCACTCTGCACATCATGTCACATTAACTGTGTTTACATTTGATTTACCAAGAGCCAGTACACTTTGTAAAACATACTTGAAAATGTCCTAAAATCTAACTACAACTAACGAGTACGTAGATTTTAACAGGCAGAAAACACCATCATCCATCAGAGCCAGATGACAGTCTGACATTGCTAAAAGAAAGGTGCCGACATATGCATGTTTTCAGGCCTCACCATGGTGATCCTGAGAGATAGAAGGCACGCGGATGCAGACGGTGGTCTCCTTGGTAACAGGATGGACGGTGTCAGCGTCATAGACGTTAGCGAAGGAGAGGCGGAGGTGCTGCTCCACGGTGCGCAGGCCGAAGTATTTGGTGTTCAGGTAAACAAGAGAGCGCAGCAGAGCCGAGGGACCCTGCTCCCCGAGATGCCGGCTGCTCCACAGGCTCTGCTCCTCCACTCGACCCCACAGAGAGCCTGAAGAGAGCAGTACAGAATAAAATCCTCCAAAGAACCAAACTATTCTTTTTCTGAAGCTCTGCACTCCCGAAGCATGGGTCAGGATTAAATGGAATAATAATATTTATGACAGTGTAAACCCATTTCTATTTTTATATCTTAACCTCAAAAACCCACCATCGGAGTTGAAAGGCATGTTAATTTCATCTTTCTAATTTATTTTTTCAAAAATTACACCATCTACCAGAACCAGAGACTCTGAAAACTGAAATCAGTCAGGTTTTCGATTTTCCTATGGTCTGTGAACTACTCATGTGCTATTCTGTTGTAGATTTTATCCAAATCTAACCTTAAAAGCCACTTTATTCTATATCTCATTCAAAAATTTGCCAAAAATAACAAAAACCTTTGCTCTTNACAACCAAGAAGGCATTTGGGACTCAAGTGAAACCTACAGTGACATGATTAAAATGCATTCAATTCTCAGCTGCACACAGTGCATATAGGAGATAAGTATGGAAATCAGTTAAGAATATAAAAAGTGAAATATGTCAATTTTTCCCCCAGTACTGGTAACACCTATGGGCACTTGGAAAAACATTACCACTGTTGTTCAGTTTTTTTTTGTTTTTTTTTAATGATTTATGACATTATAATTGTGCCATACTGCAAAGGCATTTTTGAGTTAGACCAGATTTTTCTGTTTCCAAAGAGGTTCTTTATATTGCAGTACAAAATAGGCCTAAAAATTACAGAATGAAATGAATCTTCACAATGACCAAAAGTCCATTTCTACCTGGTTATCATTTGTTGTGTCAACATGAAACCTGAAAGTGTTAAAGCAGTGTCCTCATATAATGTTATGGTGCAATCACAATGTGTCAGGATGTGAACAGCAGAAAAGTTATAATCATTGGACACTGCTCATACAGGTTGTTTAACAGCACTGTGAAGCAGACATTCAAGCACACTCCTGCTTCCCTACTTCCAAGTATCATCCTTATCCGTAATGAATGACTTTCTTTCCCAGCTCTACTGTACCTATGTTTAATTTTGCACATCTCTAACAATTAGTTCCTTGAGTGAAGTGCTGTTGAAATATTTTTAACTGACTGTGTGTTGATTTGAAATGTGCTCAGTAGTGTCTCTGCGGCTCAAATTTGTAGTTATTTAAAAAGAAAAATGGACAAATTCAATCCAATAGTCATCTGGTGCTTGTCTTAAGGTCATATCTCATTGTGTCTGGCTGCACTCACCATCAGGAAGCACGCTGGGCTGCCAGTCTTTCAAGACCTTGTTAAGCTCCTCTCCAAACTGGTGGTAGCACGGGTCACTGAACAGGTCATCCTTCCGGCCATTGGCATGAAGATGCTTTAAAGAAATATAAACTCACATTTAGAAAAGGTCAAGCCGGCTTCAATTCATGGTTGCTTACAGTGCACAGAATTTTAGTGTCCTCATATTCAGGTGATCATCACTGTATTTCAGGATGTGAACAGCAAATGGTTATAATCAATGGACACACTAATCTGTACATTTAGATGCATCTGAAACAAAGAAAGCTATTGTTCAAAGATCTGAACAAAAGTTATTGTTTCTTAAAGATCTGAACACAGTTAGTCCTATGCTCTGCAGAAACCCTCAAATTAGCTTATTATCAGGAGATTTTTTCTTTTAAAAGGGGGGGGGGAAGTGCAGCAGCAAGCAGCAGGCCCGGAAAAAGTACAAGCCACTTTCAACTATTTAAAATCAAACTACCCAAAGCAACGTTATATAAATTGATCATATCTACTTTTCACAAACAGACAAAGTCATTCTTACATTTTTGTGACAGAAAAAGCCCACTCCAGGGGACTTTAGGCAATCCTGTGCTCCACTCTTCAGCCATGCTGTGTGCTTCTGCTGCTGCTCACATGGGGGAGGAGGAAGGGAGCAACGGTGCACCAGTAATATCTGTCCTACTGGAAACACTCACTCTAACTGTAGTTCCTACCCCTAGTTTGACAACAGATTGAATAACAAAAGATTTGTTTCCACAATTCTTTTGTTTACTTATTGAGAACATTCATATTGTTTTATTTAAAATGTTATTTTCATATTTTTTTAGATTAACATAATTAATAAAACCCTTGCTAACATTACAGGAATTACCAACTTGCCTTTGTTTTATGTTTTCCTTTTTCCATAGCTATTTTTAAGGTATTTGATTGGCATTTGTAAATTTACTTGAGACCAACAGCAGAGCAATGACAAGGAGACAAGGTTCAGAGTGGGTATTTTTATAGTATAAATTAGACACAATTAAACACGGTCCTGTCTCATTCCAAGTGTATATAAAAGTGAAACACAAGAGTAATAATAATAATTAGACAATGGACATTTTATTTTTATAGCTATAAATACTTTTCATGTTAATGCAAAGATTATCATTTCATGTCTTGCCATGAGCTAAATGCCTTCAGTGACACTAAAAGTTAGACAGACAGTTAGCCTACACTGTCACATGACTGAGATTTAATCAAATCCCTGCCTTCCTTCCTTCCTTCCTTCCTTCCTTCCTTCCTTCATAAGATAACCGCTCTTGTTGATGGACCTCCAACAAATGCAAGAAGAGGACATAAAACAAACGGTCCCTGGATGGATGAACAAGGTGCATCAAAGTAACACCGTACTCATAGTCAGTGTAATCTAAATGTGTCTTATACTGATGTACAAGATCTTTTTGAGGAGAAACCATTGTTTTCTGGGCTTTGATTCTCTGGCTTGGTACCAACCTGCTGGATGCCCAGACAGAGGTAGAGGATGCTGTCTGGAGTGTAGCGTTCCCCACTTGGCCTGCATACCTCCTGGACAAACCGGGACAGAGCTATGTTCAGCTCCTTTGAACTCAGCGACAGCAGGTTACTTTTAGGCCGGGCTGCAGGAGATGTGAACACCGACTGCTGTTAGCAAACACTGCAGTGGTAGCCTTTGCAGCATAGCAATGCACTTGGACTCATACATACTCATACTGTAACCGAACAGGATATTAAATAAATGATGTGGTTTAGCTCACCGGGTTTGGAGTCGTCCTTCACTTTGGTGTCATCTGATTCGTCAGTAGGAGACAGCGCCCAGCGTTTCCAGGCATTGATGCCGTAGCGAGCTTTAAGAGGCAGTGATCGTCCTTCTGAGAGTTTGCTCGCTGAATTGGAAGAGGAGGATGAGGCTAAATCTGTGCTCTGCTCTACCGCCTGCCTCTTGTTCCCCTGCAACACAAACACACCCATTACTAAACAGTCAAGCTTAGACGGCCAATGCAATGTTTCTTATTGTTAGATGTGTTGGTATGTGTGTGAACCTACTCGTTTCCTTGGCTGAGGTCGAGGTGCCAACTCCTCTGACTCCTCCTTTTCCTCCTTTTCCTCAGACAGGACTGGAGGTAGAGAGAAGCTCATGTCCTCGTCCATCCCCTCCAGGACTGGAACAGGGTCTGAGGCTGACACAGGAACCAGCATTTGTTGGCTTATTTTCTATTTAGTAAATGGTGAATATGCATAGACCTTAGATTTTACACCGGTCAGCCTCTGTTAATGTTTAATACTGTAGCGACCCGAGTAGGTGGTTGCTCGGACTTAGAGCAGCTCCGTGTTGGTGAGCATAGAGGACTGTGGGAGCTTAGCTAGCAATGGGGTACCATGGCAGAGACTTCTATTTTGGTCAATGGCTTGCACCCTGCAGTCACATTTTCAAGAAACAAGCCATTTGTGACCAGAAAATCACACGACTGTAGTTTGCTTGTTTTTTTTTTTAAACTGTTAGTACCTGGAAAAATGTTTGCTTTACTTTACTTTATTAACCAATTTATTGATTTTTGATTGATAATGCTACCAACTAGGTTAAGTAAATTGTAAAATTTGCACCCCTACCCCAAACACCTCATATCCCAACGTGTTCAAGCATAAAAGGGATGTAATGGAAGAATCCCCGTTAATGGATGCCCAACCCAGCAACCCACAGGTTATTCAGAGCAACCAGGTGACAAAAGCCCTCAGACAGACATGGAAGGTTACTGTCAATCCATGTAGACCTGCAGCAGGCCGCTTCCCTGCTCTCTCCTCTACCACCAACCTTTAGCAGCATTACTTTCAAAACCGTACATTAGTCTGCTGTGTAACAGTCTAAAGGTCAGCGATGGAGATGGGCTTAAATTAACTACTTTGTTTGAGTTTCATTTATATTTAAATGAACATCTAAATACACGGATGCATTTCTATTACCTCTCATCATCCTAAAGCTCTGCTATCACAGCAAAACTACAACTGCCTTGTGCTTTGGTCATGCACATGCCTGCAAGCAAAAAAGCAGATCAGAAATCCTATTACACATATACAGTACATAGCCAAGAAATAAGCTTTTTCAGGAGAAATCTATCTGGGAAAATCTGATTTGTCCAATTCCTTGCCCTGGTTTTTTGTTAACATAACATTTTAACAATCCTGCTGCTGCAAAAGCAGACTGTAACCTATGCATGACAGAGCAGCATCACCAGGAAAATCTCAGATTCGCTGGCTTGTCGGCATCAGTGTGACAACTCACTAGCTGAATGGTAAGATGCTTTCTGAAAAACTCATCTGTCACTGGTTTTTCAGCATGTAAAACAAGTTATTTCCTCTTTACTGGAAGCAACAAACCAGCCAAATCTCCTACAGCGGACACTACATTAATATATTAGAGTAAAGAATACCCTTTATGATGCTATCAGTCCTATTTATTTACCAAAAATATGTTGAGGATTCAGTATCACTTACAAACTTTTCCAAACTTCAACTTAACACTGTTCAATTACGTCACAGTATGACCATGGCTCAGCAAGACCAAGAAAGCATAAAAACACAAAAAAACATCTTTATTGCTAGCCGAGCTAATGAATTTACACACCTCCTCTGGACAGTATGCCAAATCTTAAAACCTCTACTGTGATACGGGTGATGGCAGCAGGTCCAGAAATAACCAGAGGGAGGAATTTTAATCTCAATTACGATACTGATCCATTAAAAACCTCCTGCAGTCAGATGTTGTTACATAAGAGCTGCTTCACTAAACTGAACAAACAACAAGGGAAGATGCAAATAGACAGACAGAGAGAATGAGTGTCACACTGGAGACAAACGGACTGATTTCAGTTTAGAAGCCTTTGCTAATTCATTTGGCATTCAAACATGGGTGGGACCAAATAAATATAACAAGATGTTTTGAAATTTCAGTCCTCTTTGTGCAGACAGAAATTTGGCTGTAGGGATGGACAAAGTCATTTGAAAAATTCCAAAACAAGAATGTTGGCCTAAGGAAAGAGGCATAGCTTGAATTCTAATTAAACAAAACAGTCCTACAAAGCTTGGACAGGCTAATGTTACAAACTACTTTCAGGAATTATGTGTTTATTGAGTTATTTTTGGTACAGCAAAGCCTTGAAATCGGCAATTACCAAATAGTGTAAAACTACATTGTTTTTACATTATGATAGCGATTGTTATAATATTAGAAGCTTTAGTATTTGTATAATGCCTTATAATGCAATAAGAAGAAATTTTAGAGCCACTTCTTGTGTAAAATGTGAGCCAAAGTCTATAAAGACCTTGAAAAATGTAAAGAAAGTCTAAAGAAGACATTGCGGAAAGTCTGTAACCGTCATTATAATAGTTTCCTAAAAAGCTACCAGTATAATATAAACGATATAAAAACATTCTGTGTCCCTGGCCCTACATTCATATTAGGTGTTTACCTTGAGGGAAGTCCATTTCGAGGTCCAGGTCGGGCTCGTACTTATCCTCCTCCTCCTCTTCTTCGGCGCTGCTGCTGGAGGACTCCTCTGCTTTGTGCTCCCTCTTCACCTTCACCGGCTTCACATCTGAAACATACAGCCAGGTGGGCTCCCATTATCATTTGTAGCAGCTTCCGTCAAGTGTCGTTATTTCTGAAAGCATCCACCCTTTACTTTTAGCTCCAAAAGCTTTTCCACAGTCCAGTATCTGATTCCTCAGCACTGTTATAGTCACATCTCTGATGTCTGATCCAGATATGCAACCCTGTGATCAGCCCACCTGGCTTCTGCTCCTCTGTGACCACCTCAGCCGTGGAGAGCAGGTCGGCCTCCGCTGGATCAGAGGGAAGAACCTTGTTTTTCAGTTCGCTGATGGTCTGGACAATCTGTTCTGCCCCCTGCAGGGTGGTGGGCAGGAACACAGGCACAGGAACCTGGACGAAAAAGAATTTGAAGTTTCTGATGAGCAATCGGATCACTTTGAGAAAAAAAAAAATCCTTACTTGCTTTTGTATGAAAATGAAAAACCAGCATTATTGGTGTACATATGTCTTTTAGCACAGAAAATCATGGAATAGGGATCGTGTCTTACCGGTACAGGCAGAGAGACTGGACTGGGAGTTAACTGGGAATACATATTCATGGGCATGGGGATGAAGACGGGTACAGGTATAGGTACAGGAATATATTCCCTCTTCACGCCATCATCTACATCTGTGGCCAAATCATAACATTATATGAGTAAATCAGTATGTGTTAGTGGGTCATGAAGCAATGAACACACTGGTAAACTGAGACGTGATTGTATGCTGCACTTAGCCCTGCACAACATCTCAAGTCAAGTTATGTAGCTAACTGCATTGTATCATTACCCCCTAGCCATGTGTGCGACATCAGTTTAACTCGTAAGGGTCAATAAAGAAACAAAAAATGGACGGATTTCAGCTTGGAACACTTTTACCTGTCTGTAAAAGTTTGCTCTGCATGTGTGGTTTGCAGTAGGTAGCCTTGGTGAGGGTGAGCGGTTTGCAGAGCACTGCCTTGTTCTTGACATCTCTCACTAAACCTCCACTAGTGTACGCTGTAGTACTCTGGTTCACCAGCTGCAACATGCAAGAGAACCAAATCAAACGTCAGGTCTACCATCAATATTATAGAGAAAATTCAAAGTAATATCTGTTTACATGGCAGTAACAAAGCCAAAGTAAAATAAAATTGTAAAAAAGCAAAGTTGATACACAAGTCAAAGTGCATGCACCATGTTTCAAAACATAAGTGGTAAAAACTGATGTAACCTTTACAGTAAATTAATTAAAATAGTTAATGTGAAATAATTTCTTGGCATCTTTTGTAAATTCTTACTTACCCCAAGTTTGGCCCCTTGCACATCAAGCCCTGTAAGAGAAAAATGAAATACATCACATCTTTGCCTCATGAAGAACTGAGTCAAGAAGAGTGACACAAAGTAACATAGACAGACCTACATGATGTAAAACGAGGTTTTGTTTTTGTAAGACACAATGTTCAGCCCATTACTTGATTCTGAAATCGTGAACTCGTTGGCGGATTTGAAAGACAAGTTATCTTAAAAAAAGTGCCATTATCACACCATTTATCAGAATCAGAAACTGTAGACACATAAAAAATGATAATTTTTTCTGCTGTGGTTCATGAACCTATCGATGACATTATATTCTACTGAAAATCCTTATTATACCGAAGTCAAAAATCGTGATATTTCATCAAAATCACTTTACATGTTAAATTTTTGAAAAAAATGGCAAAAACAAACCATTAGCATCAACAAAATTGCTGACTTTTTTTTTAGCTCAACTGAGACTGTGCACAGAGTAGATAAGTATGCAAACAAATTCAAAATGTAGGAAGGAAATTATCTGCAGTGTGCAGAGTCACTATTTTGGTATTGGTAACACCTGTGGGCACCTGAGAAATTGTTGAACATGCTGCTTGCAGGTTTTTTCAGTTTTTGGAAAATAAATATTTAAAGAAAACTATCTTATTTTTTATGTTTTATGGTAGGACTTATACTATTTATTAGTTTCTGTAAAATAAAGAAATAAATTCAACTTCCATTTTTTTCTTTTCTTTTATGATTTATTGCATTCTAACTGTCTCACACTGCACAGAAAACCTGTCTGAGTTCTCTCTACTGCTAGTCATGTTGTTTCCACAGAGGTGCAGGCCTTTTTACTGCAGGGAAAAATGATCTGATGGCGAAGAAAAATGTGACAGGAGCAAAAAGAAACACTCAGAAACTGGCTGGAGGTCAGAGGGTTAAAAGGTCACTGCTGCAAGCTCACACACACTCATTTGTACCCAGGCTGGAGTTCTCTGGGCCTTTCTGTGTCACCATGATGGGCTCGTTCTGCTGGCAGTAGAACTTCAACAGACACTCCTGGTCACAGAAATGCTTCATCTCTGCTCTCCACATCACAGACTCCGTCAGGTTACCCTGCACCTTACAGCAGTCGCACCTCGCCGCCTAGTGGCCGCACATTGAGACAATATCAGAATATTACCGAGAACTAATTTCTGTGCACATATACGCCTACATTTATCTTAATGTATTATGTATGAGCAGACCTTGTAGTACCAGTCGTTGAACTTCTTGGCACATGTCTCGCTGCAGAAGTCCCGGGTCATGCCGCCAAGCTGCCGGGTCACACCTCTCTTACAGAGCTGGTTGCAGTGATTACAGCTAACACACTTCAGACCCAGTCGCTTGATAAAATCCTGCTTAAATAAAAGCTTACAGCCTAGAAAAAGAACAAACCAAAATAATAATAAAAAAAAAAGACAATATGCAAACAGAGAAAGGAAAAGAAGAAAATGAAAAGACAGAAGGAAAACAGTACAAAAGAATTCAGATTTTTAAGAATTAGTTCTAACATGACAAAAACAAAGGCTTGAACAGGTAAATGATTTAAGACACTTAGAATACAGAAATGAATGGACTATGTCACTGTCATTTTTCGAAACTGTCAAGAACATTACTCAGATTTATCAAGTGTCCTCAACAGAAGAGGAGAGGACTGGAAACAAGTACCTTCACTGCAGAATGGTCTCTTGACCCCAGAAAACTTGACCATCTCATGTAGCGTCTTCTCCTCTTGGCAGTACTCACAAAAAGTCACTATACAGTGGAGCTTCTTGTAGTCCTCACAGCACGTCTTACTACAGAACTGATAGACCTTATCCTGAAAAAAACAAACATTTGGTTCAATGTACCACACCTATTGTAGTTTAGGATTCATCATGTGTATGCAAGGAAAAAAACAACTAAAATGATTCAATAGAACTGATAAGGATTAATATTCTGTTCACTGACCTACTGTTTAAGTTCTAAGGTAAACTTATTGTAGTTTAAAGTGCAGGGTTTCAGACTGCGACCAAAATGGTCATATTTACGACCTTTTTTTGAGAGTTTGCAAGTTAAATTTTCAAGTGCGAGTGCATGATGATCATTAACAATAATAATGTATTTATTTTGTATAGCGCTTTTGAAGATACTCAAAGTTGCTTTACAGGGTACAAGATAAAAACAGAAACAAACACGTTGAATAAAAAGCAGATAAAAAGAGCGAGATTAATGTCGTTGTAACCGACACAGGAAGCTGTTGTGTTAACCACAGTAGTGGAAAGCGATACTTCATTAACTTTGGTGTACTGCACTATTTACGCTTAAAAATAAGTGAAAAACAGAGCCCACCTGTATTCGCTGTTTTTTCTGCTTCATTTTGAACAAATCTGACATTAGAACGCCCTAAATTCAAAGTCATGTTTGGTCGTACACCTGTCTGAGCACGCCACAGATACCAACAGCAGCTTCTGAAGCCTGCAATGTGGGGCGTTTAGAGAACATCTGTAAATTGTAGTGTCTATTGATAAGAAAATCTTCAGCAAGTCATATGTTTTTCCTGTGACAAGGTGGAAGGTGCGACCAAGTGAGAAAGCTGGTCACAGCAGTGCTACCAGTGAAAAGTCAGTCTGGAGTAGGGCTGGGCCATGATATGGGCCAGCCCGACTCCAGGTAGGTAATACCTGGAGTATTACCAGTGTAATGTTAGGGGATGATATGAAATTAAAATATTACAATAAAATTTGAGTATTGCAATGCTGTTGTTTTCGTCTGGTCTAATGCACATGGCGGTAGAAGCATGGCGGTGATCGAGGAGGAGGGCGAATGCAGTGCATCAACCGACACAGTAGGGCTGGACCCGAATATCAGAATATTCGGTCATTGTGGTGGTGTCCTGATCAAAATTTTGAGATCCGAGCATTTGCCCGACACCCGCTACCACCCCCATCTCCCCTGTTTGATGAGACCAAAGGAACTGGCTGCAAAGTTTTATGTTGCAAAGCAGCTCTACTTTACTTCTTTACTTTTGTGGATACTATGCATTGTTATGCTCAGGATTTGTAAGCCCATTTCCATATCAAATGCCTTTTGATTGATCAAATTGTCAGCAAGCAATTTATAACTTATGCACTATTGATTTTGGTACAATATAACTTTAATGCACATCAAAAACGGCTGCTTGCTAAATGGAAAGAAAAGTTCTCTTTTTTTAAAATTTGTACCAATAAAGTTGTGCAGTTTTGAAGTATTGTATCTAGCGTCACTTATGTTCCATAATGTTTGGATTCATTTGCAGTAACTAAAATGTGCTCACTCGGGGAACTGAAAAGTAAAACGGCAAGACAGAGGAAAAGGGGGCATGAAGGTAAAAAGCATGCATTTTTGTTCTTAAGCTTCTCAAAGCAAGCAAAAATTATTCAGGCTTTGCTGTACTTTTCCTGTCATTTTTTTTTTTTCTTCACACTACGCGTCCTAGAAATATACAATTACCTCTTCAATCTGTAGGAAATGTGGAGTGCAGACATCCACATTCGATGCATAATCGATAACATTCATTAAATGTCTTGATACCTATCATCTACCACCTCACGGTCACTGCTTAGAGTAAGACTTAATTCAGTAAAAATAATGAAAAGACATCAATTTGTATAGCGTCAATTATAGCATCAGTTATATTGTTATTGCAAATCTTCTCATTTATGTCATGATAATTATTTTTTGGCCATATTACCCAGCCCTAGTCTGGAGCCCTGAAGTGTGTTATTTGCAGGTAAAAAAAGACACCAAACTGTCTCTCTGTGCTATCTGTGTAAAGATGAAAAGACTGTCTCACCTCCCACTCCAGAATTTCAGGTTTTAAGCTGAACGCTCCTCGACAGTAGTTACATTTCAGCTGGACCGTGTTGTTGGTAGTAGAGAGGGGTGTCTGTCCATTGGTGGCTGTTTGAAGAGTAGCATTCTGTAAAGAAAAAAAGTGTTAACTAGCAGCTGCATAAGCATCCTAATGTTTGGTATATTGAAATACACCACCTGCTTGTTCTAACAAGGTAACTGATTAAATAAACATGACTTTAGACCTACAAAGTCACTGGTGCATGTGGTTGGTATTGTATGAACAGTACAATAATAATAATAATAATAATAATAAGAAGAAGAAGAAGAAGAAGAATAAGAATAAGAATAAGAATAATAATAAATTTATTTTGTATAGTGCTTTTCAAGATACTCAAAGTTGCTTACCAGGGTATAAGATAAAAAATAGGAACAAAACAAGTTGAATAAAAAGCAGGTAAAAAAAAGCAAGGTATAGAAGGCAGAAATATCACAAACCAGAAGTATCATAAACCATAATAATTTAAAAGAAATTTTAAAAAAAACCCTCATTGATATGTAAATGTGTGGGGCTAAAAAAAACAATTAATCAGGTCATACACTCTGCTAAAGGATCCTGTAGTGTTAGAGCTGCTTTTTGTATGTGTAAAACTGCTAGATGCTAACAGCTAATGTTTTATGTCCATGCTAATCTGTGGAGCCATGGAGTACAGTGTCCATCAGTGTGTTCCATTAAAAGAGATATTTATTTACTAGAATTAGCATAAAGTATGTTCATTTTCAACATCAGTTTGCTTAAATCAGAACACAAAAGAAGATATATCACAGTATTTTTTTTGTACAAAGACTCAGATTTGTGTGTTCAGGTTTGAAATGACAAAGACTCCCCACCTGGAACTTGGTAACACACTGTGAGCTGCAGAAGTTGAGGATGTTTCCCTCTGGCAGCGTGGCCTGGTACTGCGGTAATGAATTCCTCTTACAGAAGTGACACGTGGGCTCTGTGTCTGCACACACAGATAAATAACATTAAAATGCATAAAAGGTGCATTTAAATATATGTATATATGTAACTGGTTGTCCCACTTAAGCATGAACTGTTCCGGAAAGCTGCTAACAATCAGGTGTGGAAAAACAGGTTAAAAGGAGCTTTTCTCTGCTGCTTAATAAGCAGGAAGCATACAAACCAATAAACCTAAATGCATTCACACAGGGAGTTAATCTAATTCTGAACATGAACAGAAGCCAACTCAGCCCTTACCAAGCTAAACGCTCATTATGTTCCTGCTACTGCCCACTTGTAGCCATGAGAACACAACCTTGTGTTGCTAACATCTGTTTAACATCCTAAGGGAACTGTGTTAATGTGCATTACCATACCTGCAGGTCTTATTCTGGTTTAAAAAAGGAAAAGGTACATTTTGGATGGTTCCTAGAAAAAAAACTAAGCATCTTTGACTCTGCTTAATTTGTTACCCATCCTGCTTGTGTATTCTGGTTACTCACTGAGGAAGGACGTTGACGCCAACTTGCCCTTGTTCATACAGTTGACAGAGCAGTAGGAGCCCATGGTGCCGCCTGCTCCGAGGCTGTGGAGGACCTCGCCAGTCTTTATCAGTGTTTTGCAAGTCAGACAACTTGCAAGTTTACTGTGGGCCTGGAACAGAGAGGGAGAATATCAAAACAATGACCAATTTCACACGACAGCGATAATACTAATTATAAAATCCGACAAAAAACATTGTGATGTCAACGGATAGTAATGCGGATGGCGCTTTAACAGCTAAAAACAGACAGCATCATAACTCAGAGGTATTACTGTGTTTGTTGGGAATGCAGAGTGATTTGTGATTTTAACTCAGTAGACCTTCACATATGAGCATTATTGTGGAGTAAACAGAAAATGTTTCATGTACTGTGTTTAACAGTTTGTTCATTTTAAGATTAATTTCCCATTGCTTAGCCACAGAAGCGAACATATTATACCCTTTGTCCTATCATTACTATAATGACTTGCAGTTGTAGCATCAGCTCTAAAATGAAAACCCATCTTTAATGTGTGCTGTAAGAGTAGGAAGCACAATAAGGAAAATACAAAGATATCTTAGTGAAGAATAAGGTCACTTTCCTCAATGTGCAAAGCCACTTCTACAGAAACTGATTAAAACTGAGAAGCAAAACATGACTTAGATGTCTTGCTTACGATTTTTCCTGATAGTCTGCCAGTTTTGATGGTTATTGTTTATACAAACATAGACAACAAAGCTGCTCAGATGAAGTAAAGATAACCAATTAAAATGCCCCAAAGAGGCAGGGAGCTTTAGTCCAGCAGACAGAGACACTTATGTTTGTACTGCATGGCTCAATAGTGGACAAATCAAACTCTCGTTTGAATTTTCTGTCGCTAAAATGAGGCAGACCCTGTGGTTTTCATCCAGTTATTATTATAACATCCAAAAAGCTGGGGTTGCCAAGCAACGAATACAACTTCAACCTCTAATTTTGGGTTAACAATGCTTAGCAACACAATTTAGCTTTAACATTTTCTGTAAAAACTTGATAACAGTATTACTAGGAGTTTTAAGAGATCAAGAGGTATGCTGAGCACTAAACTGTACTGCTTGAAGACACACACACACACTCACACAGACACACACACAGACACACACGTAGACACACACACAGACACACATATATTGATATGATATTATTGTGATATCACAGGTAGATGTAAGGATTGTGAGCCATGTCTCTGCCTATAATCATTACTCCTCTACAGAACTGACAGGTAGAACAGTGACACTGTCTGGTGAATTATGTAACTCCATAAATCAAGGTGACAGCAAAAAGCTAAAATTGTCAGTGATAAGCAAAAATATCCTCGGAAGCTGAAATTCCTGTGAGACTTTCAAACTGTATTTGAAGAAATTGTGATTTTCATTTGATAAATAATAAGTAGCATCTCAAAGAAACATCTTCACAAAATTACACTCCACGCTGACCATTTCTGAAATCTCCTTTATACTTCTCTGAACATCAATCGTCATTATTTGAGCCACTATTTTGATTTCTGTGAACACTTTGTCGATAAATAGAATCTTGGCTCACTCCCATATTCATTTAAGTGCCATTTTCTGTCTTACTTGGATATTTATTAAATGTATATTTTTGTTACTGCAACTGCAAATATTTTGGAGGGATTATAGGAAGGTGAGTGGTCAGTCCAAGTAAATCTGTTTGCTGTATTTACATTTGAGTTGCTTTTGGGACAGTTTCCTGGTGGTGAGGGACAGAAGGAGGCACCACAGAAAAATTAAAACAACAAAAGCTTTTGCATGAATTTAAGTTGTCACTGCAGAGCAGAGATATTGCTGCTTTAAATCAACATAGTTGAATGAAGTACAGGAATCAAATAGACTCTAATCTAGTAAAATGTACACACTTAAGGCCTGCAGGTGGGCCAACATTACCTGCTTGTACTCCTTGATGCAGTTCTGGCAGCAGAAGCGTTTCTGTTGACCATCAACCAACAGGAAGTGGTTGGCTGATGCCCGGCTGGGCAGGTAGTCACCACATTGCTCGCAGCAGTTCATGATGAGCCCATTGGCCCTGCGGTAGACGTTGAAACATGCGTCGCTGCAGATCTTATGGGTCACAGTCTTAAAGCTAACCTCATGCCGGATCTGTAGACAGAAAAAGATGCAGAAAGAGACTGATTTACTAAACCTAAGTTACTTTTTAAAATAAATTTCACCATGTAGTTACACATTGCTTCACCGGTTTTAGTGGATATCTAGCTTATCAGAAAAACATTTCTGTTGAAATCTAACTGTGAAAATGAAGGCTTCAGTTCATCAGTTCATCAACATCTCGATGACTAACTCGGCCTTCACATTTATAGGTGTGCTAAAATGACCAACTCAAAGAAATAAAATAATCATGAATGCATGCAATACAAACTGAAGGACTCATGTCCATCTACCAATTTCAATTCATCAAAGACCTATGACGATAGATAAGGATGGCAGCCCATGTAAAATACAGCTAATAGAAACAGGAGAGAGAAGTAATGCGTTTTATTATCTATACAATATAATTTAGAATATATATATATATATATATATATATATAAATAAATCTATATAATTTTTTTTTTAAGACATCAGAAATGCAGATAGTTGTGGTTGCTAGGTGACAGTAGCACTGGTTGGCTGTGGCTGTAACAGAGATCCTGTTATACTGCTGTAAAAAAGACCCCTAATGCTGCCTTTGCTTGTTTACACTGAACCAAACACAGCCGGCACGATGCTTCCCCAGTGTGTGATTTTAAATAGCATGCAGGTATTCAAGAATTAAAGGCCTGATGTGTCACACAATAGCATCGGCATCAGTTTAACGTATATCAAAAATACAGAGAATACCAATGTTACGTTTTGGTAAATTAATTAAAAACTCACATGTCCTCAGAATGTGTCCTTTAATTGTTCACTCAAAGTATTGTAAATATGGTTAATTTGACCATAATTGTGTAATCTCTGGTTTTAGCTGTGTTCTAAATAGGCTGATTCAGTGTTTGTAGCTCCAAATCCAACACCAGGGATTTTCCTGTTGCTTTGGTGACACTGCCATCAAAAACAAAGTTATTCACTGGATCATCAGTGGATGCAGGGAGTGCATGAAGATTCTTGTGTTTGCTCTTGCAGTCAAAAACAAAATATGTAGTGAGCTCCGCTTGTGTCTGAGACATTTTAGAGTTAGCAGAGACAGCTCTGGTGAGTAAATAAATCTGGCTGACGAAGGCAGCTGCTCACCTTGAACACAGTAAGCAATGAAGGGACGGAAATATGTCATTTTTTAGCTGAATGACTGTTAGTTCCTCCGTTTTTTTTTTTTTTTTTGAGAAACTGACTTACTGGCTTGTAAAGCTAAAAGGCTATTTAGTTGCGGGGGAATGCTGAAGGACTGGAAGCAGTAATATTTTCACAGCTTTTACTTAACATTTTCAAGTTTGTAAGACATACAAAACCCCATAAAAAATAGATCTGAAGAACTGAGTGCTTAAGGTACTTCCTTCAGGTACTGTCTCTCCACTTTGCAGACACTTGCTAGTGGCGTCTTGGATCCTGTAGGTTACCTACTAATTGTCTGATTTTTAAACCTACTGTTTGCACGACACACATATGACATGTCATTAGAAAATCTCAACGTTTTCCTGCTACACTGTCGTTTTTAAACTGATGTTGATTCGTCTTTGCGACTACCACCACTGTTGGTTTAATAGCGAACAGAGATTCCCCCTCGGCCTAAATTTGTGTTTGTATGTTTTATACAGAATGGCGAAGCAAACACTATTCTCATCTTGAACAGACTGTGAAAGGGACTTACGATGCAGGTAACTATCCCACAGACTAATACTGAATATGTAAAATTGACAATTCCACAAAGGAAGCCTTGCTAAACTTAACCTAATGAATGGTTATTTTATTTATTTCACATATACTGATCACAAATTGAGCTATTACCGTATTTTGTGCTATATATCACATGACTTAAATACAACCAACAAATTAGCGCTTTGGTGTCTGAGAAGATTATTTTTGTATGTGGCGGCCATAAAGACTGGTTAAAATGGGTCCTAAGAAGCCATACTGAAATGCAGGAAGCCAAGAAAGGTCAGAAGGAATGAACTCGAGACAAGGATATAGACAGACAGGAGATAAATATTGAATGAAAGTGACCTGAGGAGAAGGACAGTAAAGCAGAGAAAGAGGATGAGACACGGAAGCAATGAAATGATGGAAAATAGAATGTTCATTAAGGGGAGAATCAAAAACAAAAATATAAAGAAAGGGGGTAAGAAGATGTAGATAAAAGGCAACACGACTCGGGCATTAAATATTAATTCTTTCAAAACAAACATCCAAGCCAAGGATGTAAATAATGAAGTGATGGTGAATGCTAGCAGCCCCGAGGCTCTGTGTGTTTTGCACTGCGTTACACTGAAAGGCATTTGTGATGTTTTGTAGGAGTGCGAGAGACACCTCTAGATTGCATCAAGCCTTGGTCATACTTAAATACAGATGTGGGTAGCTGTGGACTTGCAAGCAGTGAGCAGATGTGCACTTCTATACATATTACAATTGGATATTCAGTTTGTTTTTCTAGTGTGTACACAGTTGGTAGGCTTGTAGTGTAGACAATCCCTCATGGATTTGGGCAGGTGATGAAATTTATGTCACATGGCGTATCCTTCAAGCCACACTGATACAGAGACAATACATTTACACTGTACAGGTGTGCCTGGTATATTAGGAAGTCAGTGCATAGGTCCCTTAAACCATTTCCCTCCATTCTTATAGTACTGTTTCTATCCATCGGCACTGAAATATTCATTCTATCCGAGTCACCAGAATATAGTGGCATGTATGTTGCTCTGTTTAAGTAAGTTAAGTAAGATTGTGTGATTTTTAGTGTCTCAGACAGACTGACCTCCGTGAGCTTGCCGCAGACAGTGCATTTGGTTTTGAGGCCTGATTTGGGAGGATTTTGCTTGTTCTCATATGCACCTAAGCAGCCGGTGCTGCAGAACTCCTGGAAAGACTCGCTTGAGTCGACCTGCGCCACGATGGTGCCCTTCATGTTTGTGATGTCCCTGGAAAACACAAGCACAGGACTGAACACAGATACATAAAAACATCTACAGAAATGGTGAATTAATAAGCAAGAACAACAACAACAGAACTTGTACTATTCAAATACAGTTTGTATGAGTTAACAGTCAATTAGTAATTGGAACACACTGGAAATTTATTTTTAAAAGAGCACTTCTTTTATTACTTAACTGCTTGCTGGTGGGTTTGAAAGGGATGGCATTTTTAAAAATTGCCAAAATGATACCAAGAAACAGTAAAAACAGGAATAATCAGATTCTTGACTTTCCAATAGTCTTTGAGCTAATCATAGGTGACTTTTGAGTTTATTGGGGGAAAGTACCGTAGTTTTCGGACTACTGAGTGCACCTGAATATATGCCGCACCCACTAACTTTAAAAAATAAATAAATAAATAAAATAAAAAATTATCTATCTATCTATCTATCTATCTATCTATCTATCTATCTAGATATAGATGTTTCTTCCAGTATTACGGCACTTAAAACATGTTGGTTCTAAGTTTGTACATTTTTGTAAAATAAGTAATCAAAAAATCTGCTTTAAAATAATTTAGTTGTGAGTTCTCTGTACTTCTTACCACAGTTGTGCTGTTTTAATACAGGTGTACAACTTTGTACTGTAGTGAAAAACAGGACAGAAATCTGTCCTGACTGTTCATCATTAAAACCCCACTACACTCTGATGTATTCCAAATGATACATATACAGCGCAAACCAAAATTAAAACCACAAAATATCTCCTTCATTGTGAGACTCACTTTTTGCACATGGTGCAGCTCTTCTTGGGGGCGGGTTTGTGTGAGAAGGCAGAGAGACAGGTGGTCGAGCAGAACAGGTGTGTGGAGCCTTTACGCTGGTAGGCCGTTTGGCCTTTCTTCAGAGGCTTTTTACAGTTTGCACAGGTCACCTGGAATGAACAAACACAACAGTGATTTAGTTGTAGGGAAGATTCAACAATCTATGACCTTACTCAATTAGCTGCCAGTAGAACAGTAATAATCTGCAAAAGCACTGCAGATATATGTTAGCCATGCAAATCTTTTCAGCCTTGGATTCAATGAGACTTGCACATTTTGAGTCATACATCAACAGACAGCAAAAGTACAGATAATAAGTTTAAAAAAAAAAAAAAACACAAAAAACACTATCTATTGCACAAACTGCTCCAAATATAATTAAACAGTGCAACACAAAAGGGGAAACTGTAATCATTAGCTAACACTGTAAATGTATGATAAAGCAAAGAAAAACACGAGATAATGAATGTAACAAGTTGTGTTAAATCTCATTTGGTTTTAAGTAAAAATACATACGAGTTGGTCGACTGTCTTAGTATCATACTGACCGGTGCTCATAGGGAATTCTGTGATAACCTATGAATCTACTCAGGTTGTGCTGTGTTTGCATATATGCTTTCACGTCGAACATATTCCTGTACACAGTGAACTACATCTAATGCAACTACACAGGACCTGAATGACCAGAGTGGATCACCTTGACTGTCCTGGGCTGGGGCTGAGAGCCTGAGGAAGAAGTAGAGGTGGAAGACTGGCCTGGAGGTTTGGGCAACGAGGTGGCGGTCGACGGGGAGTCCACCCCTGTCTGTTTTTGGTTGCGAGGGACTGAAGCTGACTGAGAGATCCATGAATCTGAAGGGAAAGAAAGCATAAACATTAAGTATATGGACGACATTGTGTCGATACAGCAGCCTGGTGTACTTATAGTTCAGGGCTTTTTTGCATGTGCTATGCGAGGCATCTTAGTTTCATATTTAAACAGTAGCATCACTGGCCATTGTGGCTAAATGGGAGCAAATCCCAACAAACAGGTTCCAAAATAGAGTAAAAGTCCTCAGAAGAGTGGAATGAACTCTTGTTAGACATATTGGTGTCTACATATCTCTGGCTATATCATATTGCAAAAGTGAGCTGCTTATTAATTCACTTAGTCATGACTTTCTTAATGTTAGAAGCCTGGACATTCCTTTCTTCACAACATGTCTCAGATGATTATTTCTGTGGTTTTTGCCTTTATTGGTCTGAGGACGGTATGAAGGCAGACAGGAAAACAAATGTAAAACAGAAATGTGACATGTTGAATCAGGAATGCTGCTGCCTGCATGTGGTATGGCCATATAAGAGCCCCACAAGTATCCTGACAATGATAAAGGATAACATTTACAGCTTGTTGAAACACCTACTAAAACCGACAGTGAAGAAATAGCATCGCACTTGCTCTGAGCACCACCAACTTACACACTTGTTGCACCTCAAGCAAAATTATGGTTTGTTTTTTTTAAAGTTGTAAAACTGGTTAAGACGCTGTGCAGAAAGAAGTTTATTTTTTTTAAAGAAGAATTTCTAATATTCTGATGCACAGGAAAAAAACTGAAGACATGAAACAACAACAACAAAAAAAACATCCACAAGCTAATGTAGAAGAGCAAATTACACTCAATAGCACCATCTGGAGTCTGCATGGAGCAACTCAGAAACACTCTTCCAGTGTCCCACCCTATAAACTCACTATGTCAGAATGGTCACCATTTAAAAACAAACTCCCTATAGGTCTGCAATGCTGCATCTTTTTGCTGAAGGGGTTTACCTATAATTCTAAGTGTCTTAATGTTTAGAAAGTACAATGATACAATGAGGGGGAGAGAAGCAAAACAAGCTTGGTGTCTGGTTCTTTGACTTATTAAGAGATGACTTCACGAGTTGCTGTCCCATTCCTCAGTAAGCATGACAGAACATTCAAAACAGCACTGCATTAGGAAAAATCTAATAGGATGCATTGGCTGGTGCATAAATTTGTTTGCTGGTGAGGCTATGACAAAACACCAACCAGGAAGCCATTCAGAGTTATGGAGCAAAGAGGTTTGAGGTTTAAGACCATAAAACACTGTACAGTTTGTGTTTTGGGGGGGTTTAATTTTTGCCACCCCCAGGAGAGGTATCAATCAACATCAAAGGAAACTCACCAGTGCCAAAATGCTAAGAATTAAGGGTTAAATGAAAAATAAATAATCTGTAACCAGTCTTCTTAAGTGTGGTTTTATTTACTCAAGCATGGTAGACATTTTAGTTTAGCTAATGGTCAAAAATAACAGGAAAGTGCATAGAATTCTGTCAACCATAACAAAGACTAAATGCCTTTACTGGGTGCAGATAAGTCATGTTTACTGTCACATGTAGTCACTCCTCATAGGCCCTTCTGAGCCAGGAAAATAAAAAATATATAAAAACTACAAAGAAGGATTTTACCACTCTGGAAAATCGTCACTGGACATTTTATCCTCTTTCATGATGATCATGAGGTAAACACAAGCAATCCACCAAGAATGTATGTTTGATTAGCCAATTCTGTGCTTTGCTGGATGATGTTTCAATGGAGGGCTACACAAGGAGTCCAATATTAATCTCAATCAAGATTTTGGCTTCTCGTATTTAAATATACACTGTGACTGTGATACTGACATTTTATTGGCTCATAGAGAACTCTGCTGCATATCAAATTAACTGCATTCTAAACGAACAGCTTCACATTTGGGGTGCCGTCATACTGCTGCTCATGCACTGTTGCGGTGGCAGCCTGTGCAAAAATTTCCTGGATGTAGCGGCAGCATGTGAGTAGAAGAGTAATAAGCAAAGAGAGCAGACAAACAACATACAAATCAAATGTCTGGAGAAGAAGGTAAAGCGCTCCTCCCTTGAAACAGATCATCTTCTGTTGGAGCCATTTTGGATTCAGGGCAAATTATGTTGAACAAGAACAAAATATATGCAAAGAATACATGAGACTTATGTCTGTGCTGCAAAGCAACATGACTAACCTGCCCAACCACCTGAAAAAAGCACCACAAGCTGAAGTGCAATAAATGCATGAACTCCAAGAAGAATGACATCACACTGAATTTTCAACCTTTTGCTGCCTGAACTTCTGGAAAAAATGACTGAACGCTACACAGTGACTCAGCATATCACACAACATATACATGAAAGCAGCTCTGCTGATTTTGTTTTAAGTAAGAAATTCTGGTCTTACATTTTTCTTTTAGGAGATGCACTGGGAATAAAAACCAGTTTGATTTTGATGCAAAGCTCTGTACATTAGCAGGAAAGTAGCACCACATGGCAGTGTAACATGTGCTCTTTTAAAATGTGGAACCACAATCAAAATATTTTACAGCTCAAGTTAGTGAACAGTCATGACAAATGACTGTGATCTCAATACTGATCAAACATAAGTAGCATTTTAGCCATACCTGTGCAGTCCTATTGCACTTTTGCTGCAGGGTGAATCTGTGTTTGAATGAGGGGGCTGTGCTTTTTCACAGTGTGTCCAGCTCAACAATAACTGTGGTTTGGTTCATCCTTCACTCTAGCTGAGGAAAGCTTGTTTCTTGATTCCATAATGTTTTTGCATTTAAGCACAGTTAGTGTCTCTACATGGGCATGAGTGTCCTGGTAATTTAGTTTATCCAGCTTTGAACATTGACTTTTAAGTAGAATGCATATATGCCTGTATGCTTAACAAATACTAGTGTTCAACTTGCTGCATGTTATTTGTTTATTAATGTTTACACAACTGACAAATTTAAAATTAACAAGCTGACATTCATGTAAATCAGTGTAAATTACTAAATCAACAGTGGCTGTTGACCTGATTTGTATCTGTACTGTAACTAGTCTACTAGGGACTTAAATCATTTTCTTCCACCTACATTACAAAGTATATTTAATGCCATCATAACCCAAAAACAAAATCCATTTCTTAGTCATCAGATGATTTTGCTGTTACCACGATTTACGTTTCTGTGAAGTCACTTGACTGAAGCTGTGTCTGTGCAGGTCATTTGCAGCATTCAGAGACCACAATAACAAGCATACATGCAGCAGTAAACAGAAACCAGCAACAACTGAGATGCTTGTGCCAAGAAAACACCGACAGTTTAAGTTACACTGGTAAAGCGAAAACCTGTAAAAGTTTGTTCGACAGGTATTTAGTCCCAAATTTCGAGGCCAAAGATCAAGTATTGAATACTTTCTATCACATCTGATCGACTGTAACGTTCTTAAACTGTATTCAGGTTAATGTGCCATCTTCACTAATTCTGCCTTTCCTCTGAGTTAGTATGAGTAGCCCTCAATTCCAAATGAGGGTGGTAAAATAGAAACAGAGCTTAACAGCAATTCCACAAAACCCAGCGTTGAAGCAGGACACAGCCGGTTTCACATGAAAGCCATGAGGAGTGTAAGAGTGAGTTCTGAAGGGACAAACCAGTGTAGGCAACATGCAAGATCCATTCATCCAAACACACATTAGCTAGACTGGCTTTAAACCTGTTGAGGGTTGTGGAGAGTAGAGCCTATCTCTGCTCACACTGGATGAGCGGCAGTGTACACCTTGGACAGATCCAACGCAGGAATGAAACAAAGAGGCAGACAGCTATGCACGCTCACATTCAACCCTACGGCCAATTTAGAGTCATCAATTAACCTACCAGAAGCTCATCTCTTTTCACTATTTTAAGCTTCCGCGCCTCCTCTATCCACCTGCCTGTGATGTGAAAAGCAATCTTAGCATGCTACAGTTGAAACACTATATAATAATGAGAGAGAGAGGGGAGAGAGTTTTTTACAGAATTTCTTAGAGACTTTTTATTACTTTCTTTAAAATCAGAAGTTTCCATACACTAAGATTACTTTGCCTTCAAACTATTTGGAAAAGCCCAGATGATGATGCCATGGCTTTGGAAGCTTTTGATTGGTTAATTGACAACATTTGAGTTAATTGGAGGCACACCTGTGGATGTATTTTAAGGCACACCTCAAACACACTGCTGCCTTTTGTGACAACGTGGGAAAATCTAAAGAAATCAGCCAAGATGTCAGGAAGAGGATGGTGGACCTCCACAAGTCTGGTTCATCCTTGGGCACAATTTCCAGATGCCTGAAGGTTCCACGTCCATCTGTTCAAGCAATTATATGCAAGTATAACCACCATGGGAATGTCCAGCCATCATAGTGCTCAGGAAGGAGACGGGTTCTGTGTTCCAGAGATGAAGTGTTTTGGTGCAAAATGTACATTTCCACCCCAGAACAAAAGTAAAAGACCTTGTGAAGATGCTGCTGAAGAAGAGTGTGTCATTATCCACAGTGAAATGAGTCCTGTACCGACACGGGCTGATAGGTTACTCAGAGAGGAAGAAGACATTACTCCAAAAGCAACATATAAAAAAAGCCAGATTAGTTTGCAAATGCACACAGGGACAAAGACCTTCATTTCTGGACACATGTCCTGTGGTCTGATGAAACTAAAATTGAACTGTTTGGCCTTAATGACCATCGTTAAATTTGGAAGGAAAAGGGGGAAGCTTGAAGCCTGAGAAAACCATCTTAACTGTGAAGTACGGGGGTGGCAGCATCATGTTGTGGGATGTTTTGCTGCAGGAGGGACTGATGCACTTTACAGAATAGATGGCATCATGAGGAAAGAACATTATGTGGAAACATTGAAGCAACATCTCAAGACATCAGCCAGGAAGTTACAGCTTGGGCACAAATGGGTCTTCAAATGGACAATGACCATAAACATACCACCAGATTAGTTACAAAGAGGCTTCAGGACAACAAAGTCAATATTTTTGAGTGGCCATTACAAAGCCTTGATGTAAATCCCGTAGAAAATTTGTGGACAGAGCTGAAAAGGTGTGTGAAGCAAGGCAGCCAACAAATCTGACTCAGTTGCACCAGTTCTGTCAGGAGGAATGGGCCAGAATTCATCAAACTATTGTGAGAAGCTTGTAGAAGGACACCCAAAACATCTGACCCAAGTCATACAGTTTAAAGGCAATGCTATGAAATACTAAGGAAATGTATGTACGCTTCTGACTTTGAAGAACATAATAAAAAAAAAAATTCTCTCATCATTCTGGTGTTTAGCAAAAAGAAATAATTTTGGTAATCCTAACTGACCTAAAACAGGAACATTTTAGTCACATTAAATGTCAGACAGTGAGAAAAGAAAAAAAAAAGGTTATGTGTCTTTCTATACAGCTAATGTAAATTTCTGGTTTCAACTATATGTTAAAGGATGTCTAAATTCCTAAAATGCAGGGCGCCTGGATAGCTCAGTGGGTAGGGCGGGCGACCCACGTACAGGGGCTATAGTCCCCGACGCAGTTCGATTCCAGCCAGCGGCTCATTTACTGCATGTCATTTCCCCACTCTCCTCCCCACGTTTCTCTGTCTATCTTTCACTTTCAACTATCATTAAAGGCGGAAAAGCCCAAAAATAAATTTTAAAAAAATAAATAAATAAATTCCTAAAATGCATCTGAAGGAGAGAGGAGGATCTATTAGCGAGGATGCAGAGGTGAATCCTCGCTGTATCATTTTTGTCCCTTGTTATGTGCAAAAGAGGTATGACAAAAAGCTGGAATAAACAAACCATGATTACTCAATCACAATGTATGTCACCATCCTAATTTGTATGGTACCCTTCTACCCTATCTATCTATCACGGCTCTTTTATACTTTGCGACATGTTTATGTTAAATAAATAACAATGTGGGGCTGCCAGGTGGCGCAGTTGGTTAGCACTGTTGCCTCGCAGCAAGAAGGT